GTAATTTTATTTATGATTATTTATGTCTTTCTTAGGCTGAATAGCTGTAACTTGTCAGAGAGAGCATGTGAAGCTCTGTCCTCCTCTCTTCAACTAGAAGACTGTGAGCTCAGAGCTCTAGACCTGAGTAACAACAACCTTCAGGATTCAGGTTTGACAGTACTGTTTTCTGGACTGGAGACTGGAAACTGGAAACTGGAAACACTCAGGTCAGATATTGTTGTTTGTGACTTGACTTGAAATTTGCAACTTAAACGCTACATTTATTTTTATACTGACATATCCTTACTTTGAAATCTCTTTGAAAGGGGTTTTGTCTAAAACCATTTAAAACCAGATTTTTAGTCAGTTAAATCTCATTGATTTACAGTAGTTATGCTATCAGCTGCCAACAGTCTACATTTGCTTGTGCAAGAAGTTGAGAAAGTGTCAGAAATGAACAGATAAATAACTACAGGGCAGGATAGATAAACTGCAACAGTGGGGTTTGACAGAGATCTGGACAAGTTATTCAACTCTCAAAATGAGGAACTTCAGGGAAAAAACTACCAAGAGAAAATACTTGTGATTGGTTGGTAGATCTGTCATGGAAAAACACACTGCTGTAAACTTCTGTTTTGTTATTGTCAAAATCACTGTAATATAATCACTGTACCTTTATATACATGCGACTTGTATCAATGCTTCTGCCCTCTTGTGGCTAACGTTATGTTATTGTTATTTGGGAAAACATTTGAGAGTAACATGCAAAATGAGTCAGCACTTTGGCTTTAGCTTAAGAAATCCTAATTTTTATGTCATCAGTTATAGTTGCATGTATATTTATTTAATTCACGTTGCTACACCTGGCCCTGCATTGGTGTTCATAAAAAAATTTTATTTGTCAGCTTCACCCATCAAAGTCAGGGGGCGGGGTTAATGCTGCTCAAGTCAAAACCATTGCCTGTTAGTGTTCTTTATCTCTGCTCCTCAGTGTCTGAGCACCCCGTGCTCTTACCGGGGGTATAGTTGCATGTATTCATTATCATAATTTAACCTTTAATATTGATGTCTTAAATTTATTTTGAGTAAACTTAGCAATTTATGGATTTTATGGTTGTATTAAATAATGACATAATAATGAATTAATATTTCAGTAATTAATTTAAAAAATGTACATAATCAATTAAAGAAATATATTAATAATAAATTATCCATTAATTTCATTTAAAATGTTTCATTATTTGTTTATATACACATTCAAATGAGTTAATTACATATTTAATCAATTATTGGTTTGTTTTCTATTTTAGATTATTTTACTGACACATTTAATGAATTATTTAATGATGTATTTATTTAATTCACGTTGCTACTCCTGGCCCTGCATCGCTGTTCATAAATACATTTTATTTGTCAGCTTCACCCATCAAAGTCAGGGGGCGGGGTTAATGCTGATCCAAGTCAAAACCATTGCTTTGGTCTGGTGGGCGTTCTTTTAGTGGGCTTTTCTGTCACGGCCTGCGTGGCAGACTATGATGAGGGGAAGGACGACCCAAATGCTGGACTCTTTGATGAGGTCAGTGCGTTTATTTACAGTGATGCTAAATAATCCAAACAACAATAAATCCCCAGTGCGTTCCCGACTCTGACATGTCCTCTTGCCAGTGTTAGTGTTCTTTGTCTCCGCTCCTCAGTGTCTGAGCACCCCGTGCTCGCTGCCCTCTCGTCTCCACACTCCTCCTGGGGAATAACAAAGAGGCAGCCGTCAGCAACGCCACAATGCAGCAGACTAACCTTAACTAACTCGCCAAGAGACTAACGTGAAGTTACGCAATGATCCAGCATCGGAGACAGCTCCACCACACTCCTAAGTAGCTCCTCTGACGAGGCTTGATCAGCTGCAGGTGAGTAATTCTCCTCCGCAGGTGTGGCCAGGCTCCTGGCTGACACACACACACACACACCTAGATACACAAACATGGAAACAGGAGACAGCAGCACCAAAAACACACATGTCCATAACTTCTTACAGGCCCTGGGTCACCCAGACCCCGGTCCCATGACAATTCCTCAAAACTAAGTAGGCCTACACACCAGGGTTTGGACATGTGTGGACCCAAACTATACTTACACTTTACCCTTTTTTGTGTGTCACCAAATACACTTTAATATCTTCTAGACAAGAATGTAGTGGCACAATCTTTAACCTCCTAAGACCCGAACTCCTCCGTGGCATTCATTTTTAATTTCTCTTTGATATTTGGGCTGATTGGGACCTGATGAATGTAAAAACAAAGAATTACCACATTTTTTGTTTCTGAGAAAAATGAGAGCCACATATGAGGATATTGGTCTAAAATTTCGATAGCACAGTGGCAGTGTAACATCCTCGTAAGTGGATATCAGGCCCTTGTAGAGCAAAATGTAGTATTTTGGTCTAAACAACCCAAAATGTGATGTCCACATATGTGGACGCCAGGTCCTAGGAGGTTAAATATCTGCTCACTTTGTCAAAATGAACCTAATCATCTCTGATGAATTCAGTGATGTCTGCCAGCTCACCTTGCAAGTGGTCGAGCTTATACCGCCGACAACGCGGCCACAACTTGTAAACCCCCTGCTGACTATCAGCTCTGGAGTTATTTATTTATGTTAGTTTCAACTGTTCCTGCAGAAAGTAAGCACGTGTTACTGATAAAAGTCCAATAGAAGCAAAGTCTAAACTTTGAAAACAAAAAACAGAAACCTGTCTGATTAAGATCTGATCTTTGGGGGGTTTCAATAAGCAGTGTGACCCGTGTATATGCATCAGGGGTGGTTTTGATTATCGATTTATCGATTAAAATCGATTCTGGCTTGGATAACGTGATATCGATTCATTAAAATCCTGAATCGATTTTTTAATATAAATTTATTTTGGCCAAAACGCCAGAATCTCAGGTTAAACCTCCCAAAGTTTCAACAACCACCAAACAGCTAAAACAGTAAATGAGAGCAGGAACACGGATTCTGCACAAAGACGTAAACACAAAGCGCGGAGCCGCCGACGCATCAGAATCAGTGAGATGTGACTTTCTCACCTGACTGCAGGGACACGAGCTGAAAGCCGACAGCTCGCTGATTCTGATGTTTCCGCGCTTTGTGTTTACGCCCTTTTTGCGCTGATTCTGAAGCTGCAGGTTTTTCTCTCTCCAAACAATATTGAGTAAACCAGCAGCAAAAGAAGCTCCAAACTACGCTTCACATAAACATCGTCATGAATTCCCTCTGATTGTTTTGCTGCCACCAGGATAAAATCACACTTCATGCACAGCTCTCTCTCTCTCTCTCTCTCTCTCTCTCTCTCTCTCTCTCTCTGTACTTCAAGAACAGTTTCCCGTCTAAAAATCTGTTTTCTGCATTATTCGCTTGCTTGTTACGCACAAGTCTACCGTTCTTACAGCCTGTCGGCCGCTGTTTTTTTTCTTTTACTTACTTCTGAAAACAAAGCCTCGTTTCTGCCGTTCAACACTGAACAAATTTAAACTTTTTAAAATGATGCAAAATTGCAAAACGCTCAGCTGTGTCTGTAATCAAACCTCTGTAACTTTGCTCTGCTTCACGTCAGCAGCATCAGGTAATGTTCATATGTTCATTAATGGTTTTCTTTCGTTTTTGATGTACTGCAGAATATTTGTATAAAATCCCAGGCCAGGAAAACCTTCATGTTTTTCTGTTTGATCCTCAGCTACTTTGACACAAAGGCCTCTGCTGTGACGCTCACACCTTTGATAAAGTCTGGCAAGTGTCAGATTTCTTTTTATAGATATAAAAATATAGAAATGTACTGATGCATGTAGTAACTGTTAGCTTTAACTGTACAAGGCTTGTTAGACATAATGAAACACATCGTACAGATTTCTGGATGTTAGACTATAATTTTTATTATGATTATTAATCTTGAGTCTAAAAAGTCAGTCGAGTATATCCAGGATATCTTTCTGTTAACTGGATTCACTGACACTAACACTGGGACCAGGATAAGCGGTCGCATGAAGCTGGTTACCAGCTGACAATCTTATTATTTAATTAATTTCATTAAGTTATTTAATTTTTCTACTTTTTCCTCTACATTTCCCCTGAAATGAAGGGATTGTGTTAAACATGCTTTAGTTCCTCACATTTTTCTGCATCTCTTTGTTCAACCCCCTGAATTAAAGCTGAAAGTCTGCACTTCAAACACATCTGAGTTGTTGCATTTAAAATTGATTTTGGTGTATGTACAGAACCAAAATCAGAAATGAAGTTCTCTCTGTCCAGATATTTATGGACCTAACTGTATAATCTCTACAGCACGTAAAAAATGCTGTAAATAAAGAAGTCTGTGAAAATGTGGCGCTTAAGGTCAATTTAAACTGAAGTGATATAATCTTCTCCCCACAGTTTGAGTTTGTATTGTCTCAGCTGCAGACAGACTATGATATTAATATTATTAGTTATTAATATTATTAGTTATAAAGGACACCTTCCTGCCTTTAGTCTTATTCATGATGATTATTAGTCGTCTTCTAATGTCCACAAGTCTGTATGATGTGTTTCATAGTTTCTAACAAGCCTTTTAAACTTAAGTTACTGCATTGCTGAAACACCAACATCTGCTTATTGAACAAAACAACAACCAAAAGACCACACATCTGATTTTATTTTTATTTTAATAGACTTCCAAAGATTATACCAGATAACTGGCCTCAGAATATAATTGAATAAACATGTTTAGAAACGATAACCTAATCCTGTCTTGACAGGCTGAGCTCTTCAGTATCCACCAACAGCATCGTCATGCTGAGTCAGACGTTTCTGCTCCTGCTGGAAATACTCTTCCTCTTTCCACATTGTACCAAATGTTTTTAAATGTTAGTTTCAATTTAAAATGAAAGATTAAAAAAGTGTAACACATATAAACATCAGATAATTAAGACAAGCGAATGGTTCAGTTCCACATGTGCTCCGCTGACACATTAAACTTCAGTAAAATGATGCAGTTATGAAACAACTTTAATCTAAAACAAACTGATTTGCTCAGGAGCAAAAACAGTGAAGTCAGTGACTGTAAGTGAGTGAGCTGTGCTGGTGACTGGATATCAGATTTCCAGTCATTAGAGCAGATAAGTGGCAGAACTAT